GGCGGTCCTTTTGTTAAATAAGTCACTTTCCCTGTGTTTTACAGGCAAATACCAAAGATAGAAATGTCAAAAGCTCGGTCGGCTATAGACCCTGGTTTTTGACTTTTTTGCATTTCTATCTAGTCTGCCGTCATTATAACTATATAACTAACTAACTAACTAACCAACCAACCAACCAACCAACTAACCAACTAACCAACTAACCAACCAACCAACTAACCGCAACTAACCAACTAACCGGCTTACAGACTAACTATATAACCCCAACCAACTCCCAAGAGCGTCCAGCGTTCCCTACAGCTGGTTACTGTTGTCCAGTCCAATCCCTGCACCTTCGAGGTTCAAAGCTGCAGGGCTACCTCAAACCAGCGGTGGTTCGGACACCGACGCATTGAAAAGCTCTTAGCAACAGGAAAATGCCCAAGAAAGTGATGACATGCCAAAGGATGCCAACGGTAGAATAGATTTAGATATATACCAGTCCCGTTTCGAGCAGGTTGGACGCGTCCAAAGTTGGTAGGTCAACATGAGCCATGCAAGAAGGATTCAACAAGAAGAACCTTGCTTCTGCAAAGATTCTCTTGATGGCCTAAAGCCTGTCATAGCCTGGCTTCCAAAGATGGCATGCTCCTTCAAGACTTATGGCCATGCCAGAGCCCCTGCAATATAAAGCTTTCCAATGACAAAGTGATACAAAGTGGTGATGATTGGAAGGCCAAGGTAACAGGAAGAAGTGGATTCGATGAGAACGCATGGAAGAGGACAGCTCAGCTCAAGAAGACCATCAGCGATGGTGAGGCAAAGCTAGCCATCGCTGAGGACAAACCCAGCCATTCATCCACCCGGGTTCGGCAGGAAGATTCTGTTGCTTGGATCCTTCAGCAATCATTAAAGGCGTCGACCCCTTTCCTTTCATGAAAAGTGGACACCGTCAACATCCATCGCAACCCTGAAATGCATCAATCCATTGTTTGTCCAGCATGTGCTTGCACTTGCATGCACGTGTGAGTGACGGTGTTTGGGATGGTCAACCTGGCCAGAGATCTACAGAGATCTCCAATTCTTAAAGGCCGCGAACTCAGTGTCAGAAGTGACTTCAATGGACTCAAGTTTGGGCCAATGATAGGCCACTTGCAGAAGCACTGGCCTCAACGAAGTTCACTGATGGTCTAGTGTACCAAAGAGCCGCAATTCTTGAAAGCATGATGAATCGGCCAAACTGTTTGCCAGCCTTGAAACGCGCTCTCAGAACTATGGGCTTCGTTGCTTGGGATCTCAACAAGGACAAGTTCGTCTGGGCCAGCTTCGCCATCAATTGCACCCTTGTCAGAGCAGCTGTAAAGACAACAGCTTCTCATCATTGCCCAGCAGCGGGCCGCCAACAACAATTCTCACCCAAGTTGTTCTGCGAGTAACCTCATCTGAAGTCTGCCTGTCCTTGATCTGCTGCTTAAGCTTGCTACCTGTGATCCATGGTGCATCGAGATCAATGATTTCAACATTGACCTGCAGTATCAGTACTCACTACTGAAAGTCTCTTCGATGCGGCCACCTTGCAATCACTACAACCAGCTATTCTATGTCGCTGATCTTATCTTGATATCTGTAAAGTGTGCTTTGCATATGGCTTCGATGCACAAGTCGCCCACACTTGTTTGGACAAGTGGTGCTTCTGGGAGAAAGCTAGCAAAACAACCAATCAATGGAAGTCATGTCCATCTATTTCGGGACCACCATAACCATGTCCACCAAACATTCCATGAAGGTTAGCCTTTTCACACACACCCTCACAACAGCTGGCCGGATGAACGAAAATGGCACTGGGTTCACGGAAGGGTTTCGTTCAACAATTCATAGGCAACAAATGGCAACAAATTCACGGACAGCCTTTCAGGAGCTCAGCACCACACTCGTTGGGCTTCGGGCCTTGGCAACGGCGACGCAACAGAACGATCCGGGAGGTCGGACAAGCTGCTTCTGATATGTGTGTGTGCGTGTGATTCTTCCATCTCAAGTTCTTCTTATTTTTATATTTATCATATCCAATTGCCAAATTTCATGTGTGTGTGTGTGTGTTTTTGTGTCTTGCTTCTGAACGAGCACCACCACCAGCACCATCACGACCACCACCCCTCTGAAGCTCCTTGCTGACTCTGGCTCAAAGGGTTTGGGCTGATGACCAAAGCCTGTCGCAGCTGGTTGCCACTTGCTACTGTTGGACCCTTTCATGTCAACTCCAGGGCAGCTGGGGGTCCATGAACAAAGCGCTTCTGGGTTCCAGTGGTTCGATGCCAGGCTTCACCAAAGAAGGCTGCATCTTGAAAGAGCTTTGAGTGAGAGGTGCTCGGAATGTTGAAAGAGTGACTTTAGGATCAGTGTCCAAACACCACAGATTCTCACCATGTCCATTGCTTCCAAACTTTCCCTGCAATCAGAGCTAGAGGGAAAAACTATGCTTTTGCTGCACTAGATCATGTCAGCAAACACATGCCAACACTCTGCAAGTGTTAGACAATCCTGCGACTCGGGTCAGCAACAATGCACATGTTTCACATGTTGAGACCATGCACAATCTATATATATATACTTACAACAGCATCAAGTTGACATGGCATTGAGTTGCCAGTTGTGTTTACACACCGAACACCAGCAAAACCGGTGCACAGAGACGCCCTCTGCACACTACAAATGGATATGATATATCATGAATCCGGCGACCAGACTTGCGTTTTCTTCCGGTTCGTAACAGAGTAACGCTGAAGGTGGTGATGTAAAATCAGTTTCATCCGTGGAGCAAATCGTCAAACGGCGGTATTTCGTCCCTCGTCCACTGAGGATCTGACCCATGAAGCCTTGGATCGCAGGTTCAACATCTCATCACCGAATAGGTTTCAGTAGGGCAGTAGTGCTCCACAATGCTCAATTTCACTATATTTCTATTGGAATGTGGGGCCAAGCAGGGAAGAAAGAACATGGGACAGCAGCTTTGCTCTGTTCTGCTGGGCCAAACCATGCTCCGTGCGCCATGAGGACCCAACGATGGAATCGATCATAGGCGGAGCGGAAGACCTTGTACCTGCGTTGAAGTTGAGGCTCCAGGTCCACACGACCAAAATTATGCGGAAAACTCCTTGGATTAGGTTGGAGGCCATCGCTACTAGTAACAAGAAGCTACTAGTAACACGGAAAACTCCTTAGATCTCAGCTAATTATGACCCAGGCGGCGCAAAACCAAAATCAGGAGTTTGGACCTTTCCACAACAACCAGGGTCGCTGTGACTGTCAGCGCACTCCTTCACCAAAACAGGGAATTGTCCTGGGGACGGTGGATCAAGACACAGAGAACAAAAACCTCCTGCCCAGGAGTAGAACAACGCTAGAACTGGGCATAAATCAGGAATGTGTGATCAGTTGACTTACCTGCAAGACCTTTACGCAGCGGTAGCAGAACATGCAATGGATAAACCCGCGCCAGGAAATAACATATATATATATTATATCCATCAATCAAAGCTCCGCCTGTCCTTTTCACAGCTAGGTTCAGAAGCCGAGAAGCCAACACCCTAACATGCCATAACATGCCATATGTGAGTAACATCCACCATACGAAAACCGCATTGAACCTTCCTGGAACCCCTACCACATGACACTGGTGTAGCTGATCCCTATCCAAATCAGTATGTGTTTTTACCTCTTGACCTCTTGTGACATCGCTTTGCTCCAAGAGGCCGATGGGACCGATCAAGGAACCGATGAGGAGCATCACCGGTAGAGCCAAGGAGGCCTTGTGAATGGGAAGAAACCGAGTGAAGCTTGAGAAGATCTTAGAAGGGAAAAAAAACGCGGACAGTCTTTGGATCGCTTCTTTGGAGCGGCTGAACCGAAACAGCCAACATTTGCTGGTCATGGTGTTGAGCTCAAGAAGATTCGTCTTGTCGCATGAAAGACTCGAAAAGTCACGGAACTGCTCCGCGTCAGATCTGTTCATGGGGTGACCAATAGTGGACCAAGACCATTAGTTACTAGAGTTGCCAAAGGAATTAATGTCGGAGACAACTATGTGCGGCTGAGACATCCATGGCATTCCATTTCTCATACACGATCCGAGGAGGTAAAACTGTGAAGCAGTCTGTGAAGCATGCACCGCCCAAAAAGTACTCCATGTCACACTGGGAAGCATGCTTTCAACTGCTCGTGGGTGGTGTGGACATAGAAACCTCAGCAGGCTCACATGCACCAATCTCCAGTCACGTTAATCTCTAAATGCTGTGGGTGGTTCCATCGCTGGTAGTATTGCTGGTCACCTCTTGGTGAGCCGAGCCGAGTGTGACCAAGGTGACCAAAGTGGAGAGGCCGTAGTCCAAGGCAGCAGGCATCTTTTGCAGCCACAGCCTACCCCATCGCGGCGTAGGCGGCGAGCCCCAAGCTGAGTGCTCAGCGTCTCTGCTTGTTCAAAACAATCCCCACATGTCCTACTTTCTTGCAGGCATTTGTCAGTTCTGCACGGTGGCAAAGATGGTGCGGCCTCAAGGATGTTCCAACAACACCTGCAAATTTCACATCACTACCGGCCGCACCAGAGCAAGAGAACTCTGAGAGAGAACCATTTCCCGAGCCTGATCCAGGCCATGCGTAACTCCTGGATGTGCTCGGGTGCTGCACTATGCAGTCTACCAAGCTTCTATGATGGAGCTTTCATGAAACTAAACATACACAAACCGTCTGGATGCCCAAGGATCCCAAAGTCTTGAAGAAGTCTGTGCCAAAACAAAATTACTAGCTTCAACAACTGTGTCAGACCTCACCACCTCACTCCTGAGAAGGAAGTCTTAGCACCACTTGGAAGCAAGTCTTGGCAAACCTTGCAGTAAATAGGCCAAGAATCTATCCTGAGACCTTGGAGACCACCGAAACCCGTGTTCTCAACGCGTCTTGCTCCGCCTCCGCCCGTGCGCGGGAGATCACCCGCTCATAGGATGAGGTCCAAGCCTATACGCGAAAAGACGTTGGCCGTTCGAATGAGGAAAAAGATTGGAAATGATCTTAGGAGGACCATCAATCTTGATCTTGAGAGGTCCATGAATGCTTTCCCAGCTTCATAAATGAGGCCATGAATGAAAGGACAACCATGGAGCACGTTTTCTATATAGTATGATGCAGAAGGTCTCGGGGTCCCTCAAACTTCATGTTGGATCACTCCCCCTCCTTGGCTTGAGGAGGAGACATGCCCTGACAGATCGAAATCCAATGTGTACAACACTTAGCTCGGACCCTGAAAACAACCAGCATTCAATATGCATACATTGGTTCACAAAGTGCTGCACCCGGTCACTGGATTCTAGTATAGATCGCGAGCCGACATCTATATATACCATTTCTAGGTCTAGACTGTTCCTTCTATCAATCCAACAGTTATAACAGGGCCATAAACTGACTGGCGAAGCGCTCCACCCCTGCTTGAGGGTCCGGCCAGCATCCGTAGGGTTCGGATATTCCTTGGTCAGTTTTTTTCGATGAAACGCTTCAGTGTTTTGGTTGAGAGATGGATCTCCAGAAAACTGATTGTACTCTGGGAGTTCCCAGCTTTGTCGGAAGCTTGCAGCACCTGCGGGTTTTACAAAAAACATCCTTGTGACCTCCAGTTCGTCTTTTGGATAGTACAGTCCTCGTCGTTTTCTCGTGAGTTTCATAATTCAACTTGAGGCACCTCTCCTACACTTCTCTGGCTTTGACAGAACCAGCAATGGGGAAAGCAAACACAGCACATAAGCAACAAGCAAACGAGTTTCTTTACATCAATTTGTTTACAGTATACTATATATAATACGATCTAATAACTACTGTGAAATGTATTGAAGGATTGGTTTGTTCCTGTTGTTTCTACAATGCCCACGTAAGCAAGCTCGCGTGCCTACACGGCCTACACGACGCCAAGGATCGTAAAGCCTTCGCTGCACCGGCCCAAGCGCTCGTCCTCACTTCCGCCGAATCATTTCTTGCTTGGCTGAGGTCGTGTAGTTGAGTCATGTTGAATCATGTTGAAACATGTTAAATCAAATACAATGGATTGCTATGGCCTCTTGTTATCTCTTGTTCCTTAGGGTCATGGCCAATGGCCCTGTGCATGCCGATTAAAAGAAGTACTTCTCTCACCACTTCTTGAGAGAAAGAGACGTTGGGTGGCTCAAGAGAGACACATCTGAGACAGTGAAACGTGTCCAAATGATCCCAAATGAGCCATCTGCCTTTCATCTGCCACCTGGTGGCCACCGGGTGGCAGACCAAACAGCTGCAACCGGGCGAGCAAGCCCAACCGTAGTCCTTGGCAAAATAGAGCCGGTCTCGGTACACGCCATCGGCATAGCCCCTCAGAGTGCCGATTGGATGTCAACGGAACTGTGCGATGGAATGGGATGGTCCTGAGTCCTGACAGAGACCTCTTCTTGCCCTTCTTCGGTTCTAGATTCTAGATAGTGGAGGCTTCCGTGACGAGAGGGAGAGTGGATTGTCAGCTATCTCTTTCAAGCCCCTGTGTTACCCAGTGGATCCGTTTCAAAGAAGCGAAAGTTGTCCTGTTAGACCGTATGTCCGGCAAGTTCTGTGCTGTGGCAGTTGCTGAGAGCAGGGCATGATGAGATTGAAGGTCTTGCAAATGATGATTGTCAACAGTCCTGGGACCACAGCTAAGGCCTCAGTTCGATCGGGTCGAATCCCAGATTCTTGGAAACAAATATATAGATGAAGTTGAGGCCAAAAACACCAACCAACATGTTGTCATGGCAACGTGTCGCGCCAAAACCGGTGTCAACGTTGAGTTTGGGAGAGCATCTTTCTTTGAACGTCACCTGTGAAGCTTTTCCTGCCACCTGGAACCTGAGCAGGATCGTCCCATCAGTACGACCCTTTTTCACTACAGCAACCATCGAGGAGTCCGCTGCGCATATGCATCGTAGCCTTAGCATGATGAGAGGGAAGCCAATATCAAGATGCCACCCAACATGCCAGTCTGTTCAAGGTGGAGTTACTTGGAAGCCCTAAAGATTTACCTATCGGTTGTCACGTGTCCCCTCTACCCCAAAGTGCCGAAGGATCAACAGGATAGATGCTAGCCATCACATACTTGGGAGGAGAGACCACTCCTTATGTATGGGATGACACACACAGAGAGAGAGAGAGAGGAAACTTTGTGGAGGAGCAAATGCCCAGACAGAAACATGACAGATGAATAATCCAAAATCATCTACGACCATCCACAACTTATATAGTCTCTGTATGTCTCTGTGTCTGCTGGCTTGGATTGGAGGGTCCTTATAATATTTGTTGGAGAAGGCTAGCCCTACGCGAGTTGTCTTCCTAGTAGTCTCAGGAGGGTCGTTTGGAACTTTGCAGCTCATAGGCTCCACAGGAGTCTAAGAGCCTCTTTCTTGCGAAGTGCTTGGGTCAGATACTAGCTCACTAGCACAGGCCTCTAATACATGTCTCATCATGTCTCCATGTCCATGTCAAAGTTCAAGCTCCATCATGTTCCATCCACCAACCCTCACCACTTGCTGTCTACAATGGGAAACAGACAGACAGACAGACAGACAGACAGCTCTAAGTTTCCAGCCAAGAACCAAAGCATTTGTTTCGGGGATGCGATCAAACTGCCATGCCAAAGCACCCTTGAATCTCGCACGCAAATAGGCTTCTTCGCCTGGAATGATGCAGAACTGCAGGTAGGCTGCAAACGGCAGCAGCGCTAGAAGACCCCACCAAGTGTTTGCCATCAGCCCCACGGAGCCTGATGCGTAAAGAGCGGCTGAAAGAAGGGGTTGAAGGTATCCACCAAGTGGAAGGTATCAAAAGTATTCAAAAGTATCAATGTAAAGGACTGCCGCAGGTGCCTTCTGGTGAGCATCATTGCAAGAGTCCTCTGATTTACTGAGTCCTCTGATGTCCTCTGCCTCATTCTGTCGCCCTAAGCTGGCACAGCTCCACTATGCTCCGCATGATCCCCACACACCTCCTGAGTTTGCTCTTGCGAAGCCAAGCCGCTGATGTTTCCAAGCATGCTCAGGTACATGGGATTCCTTGACCATTCAAACCTGGGCTCAATGGATGTGGATGGAGCACAAACCCCAGGGATGCTCTTTTCAGCTTTCAGTGGGTTCCATATGGTTCCATTCAAAAACTTTAAGGAACCTAATAGCGATTGCCTCCGACCTACTAGCGATGGCCTCCAACCTAATAGCGATGGCCACCAACCTGCTAGCGATGGCCTCCAACCGAATAGCGATGGCCTCAACCCTAGTAGCCATGGGCTCCATATGGTTCCATTAACATCTTGTTGTCCTGGAGTCCTGCCCATGTCTTTTGCTGGGGCGATTAAAGTGTACCTCGCAACCTCGGGTCCGCCCTGTCAAATGTTGTCGCCGTGTAAGCAAGTTCGGGTCATGTCCATATGTAGGTCCAAAACCCTAGGGGCAAAGACGCTACTAGGAGCAAAGGGCATCGCTCCTAGGACTACTAGGATCAAGGACTCTACTAAGGGCCCCTGGCCTTACTACTAGGAACAAGAAGCTGCTGGGAGCTTCTATCACTGTCTCCCTGGTGAACATTCAAGAGCGGAATGGTCACTGCGTCTGACACCTTGCTACGGTGCCTGCCGAAACAACACGTGTTGGTCTAAAATGTCAAACGGATTCAAACGGTGCATAACAAGGGCATCGGTATGACAAGGGTCTCAGCGCCCCCGGTTTCGGTTTTCAAAGTTTCGGATGCTTCTCGCCGTATTCGTGTACCGTATATTGTTTGCCCTACATGGGGATTGTCCCTACACGCGGACTCCACAAGAAATCCCGTAGTGCTTCGGTAAATGCTTCCTCATTGCAATAAATAACAAACATGACGTCGTTATGCCAGGCTGTGCCTGCGGCCTGCATCAGAATGGGCGCGATGTATGGGGAGAAAGACATGGTGGGGGTAGCCACAAATCTGGGTCTCTGCAATCAGTATATTGTAGCGCTATCTGGACGGCATGGTCGAGATGGAGAATGAACCTCAAACAGAAAAACAGTATATAGAAATGGAATCTCCACTCAGTCTCATTAGATCTGATTTGGGTTTCAGTTGAAAGCGCCCAACTGGTACATGTCTTCCGTTTCCCATGTTCTCCGAACATCGCCCGTGTGGTGCACCCCACATGTTCTCAGTAAGCGACGGCCCATCCATCACCAAGACCTGTGAGGCCTGCCGGTGGCTCAGTGGAGTGCCCTGCGCCCGGAAGCGGTCCACGGCACACGTCCTGATGCCGTGAGATGCGATGGGTGAAGGGCGAAGGCACTTGTTACTACGTTCGCTTCTTGTTACTACTAGTAAGGCACCTGTTACTACTAGCGTGGCACTTGTTTCTACTAGCTTCTTGTTACTTGAAAGGTGTGTTTGCTGCGTAGCTTGCTTTAGGCAGACTCTATAAGCCAAAGTCAACTGTACAGCAGCTTGCTGCGCAAGTGCAAGCCTTTCAGAAAGGTGGAGAAGGTCAAAAAGAATCAAAAAAACATACGAAATGAATCAATGTGATGTAGGGGCAACCCACTGACTCAATAGCTGCCAAAACGATAAGTTATATACCTATCCCCAGTGAAACATCAAACCTTTTGTTGTGACATCTTGCAGATCATACACCAACCCGACCGCTCTTCTCCTCAGTGAGACACTGGAGGCCATCAGCGCCGCACCCAGGAGCTGCACCGGCCAAGCTCGCTTCGCGCGGATGGTGAGAGCCCAGGCCTGGATGGGCTCTCAGGATCTTGGGGTCTCTGGTCTAACGAAACGAAACTTGCAAAAGGTGTACATGAATGTGAAAACTATGTGAAAATACTGTTTGTGACTATGTGTGCATTTGCAGTGGTTGTGCTGCAAATGCTCGCATGTCTGCCCAAAGCCACAGGGACAGTTGGCTTGGAGGTTGTACGCGAGTCTTCGTTTTACATTGGTAGATCTCCAGCTCAAATGACTTTTGTCAAGAAGGTCTGTGGACAAGATCGCCTCGCCCAGTTGCTCTTTGGCAAAGTACCAGCAGCCCATACCCCCCGCGATGCATAAAAGGTCCAGCTGCGCCACCTGCGGAAAGCAGGAATCGGGCCAACAGAGGCGTCTGTCACCGTATAAAATTAAAACAGGCTTAAGCCCATGACTTACTTGATCAACCTCTATTCATGCCTACAGTATGTAAGCAGTGGTAGGTGTGCGTGCATAAATATTGAAGAGCACCATTTTTGGCCAAATGATTTGGACTCACATTGTCGGGACAAAGAAGATACTGCGTGGAGTCATAGATGCCTGTCCAGGCTGACTCTTGCGCAGCATATGGAGTGAGATGCTATTCAAGTGAAAGAAGCATTTCTAATACCTGTTGTTCCTCTACATTGCATATTCTTCTCTAATGATACATCAAATATGACATATATGTGATTCAAAGCAAGGCTTCTTCAACCTACCAACGTCATATGGGCATCCAAGTGCTGCAAGGGCACTGGCTCCGGTTGACTTGGGATGTCTTCCATAGCAGGGGAAGTAGTGAGTGTTTGTACAGATTTTCATAATTCGTTCCAAGTTTGGGGCACCGTTGCCATCCGTCTCATGCATTGGCATTGAAAGCAATCTTTCTGCACTCCTGCACATCCGTTATATCCTTGTCATCAATGCACTGCTGCCCGATGCTCTCTTCAATAGCAATCGCTCAAAATGCCTGCGGTGCCTGTGCTTGATGTGACACTTCAGTCGTTTGCTGAGAACTTTTTGCCACTTTGTCTTGCTATATCATACTGGTACCTTGTTGACTGCCTGATGAGCCAACCAAGCTAAATCGTGCAAGCAGGAAACAAATACAGAGACAAGCCACTACCACTTTGGCAAGTCAATTTGTGCTCTGGCAGAAAACTCAGGTGCACCGCCTTTCAATCAAATTTGGATGTGTGGCTTCACTGCTCCACTGCTTCGGGAGAATAACCATTAATCATTACTCCATGTGCCCGGGCCACTTGAGCGAAGAGCGCAGTGAAAGCTGTCACAAGTTGGATGGGCAAACTCCAAATCTCGGCGCGGTGGCCACGGCGCCGATTGCGCACGGGATTGCGCGGGTGCCTTTTTGAGATGCCTTTCGTCAGGGAACACCGGTTGTTCCTGTCTGTGTTCATTTGTTGTCATGAGATGAACCAAGTGCAACAGGACAACTGTAAGGCTCCAGCATCGAGGATCACCCAGACCATGTTGACGCTGTCACCTTGGTGGAATCTAGCAAGGTCTGTTGAAGCTCATGGAAGTCGCAATGCAGGGCATCTGAAAGACACATCATCCCCCGCACCTGCCGTGCCGCTGAGGCAATGACCAACGTCGAAGGAGATCACGTTATAAATGGCACTCTCCCCATGAGTGTTCCCCTGTCGCGAGAGGCATTACACACTATTACACACACCACCTTCCACTCTTGAAAGTCGCCTGGTTTGCATGCCTGTCAACCCCCAGTGGTCCAGGTTTCTTCCTGCACTTGACAGTATCGCACCAGAAATTGAATTACTTTGCACTGAGAACCTAAGAAACCATGACCGATGACTGATCCCGAAATCCAAACAGAGCGGCAGGCCCTGAGAGTGCAGTTTTTTGCTATTTTTCATTTGTTCTTAGGCCTAGATTTTATTACAGAAACTGCACTCCCAGGGTGGCAGCAGGCAAGGCAAAGCAATATTTGGATCTAGAGTGGTACCAAAAACATTGAAAAACACAAGAAACAATTTATATGTTCAGACTCTCTGGAGGGGGTGGGTTCCCAGCCAAGATTTTCTGAATATTCTTTGTGGCAGCAGGCAAGGCAAGGCAATATTTGGATCTAGGGGGTGCCAAAAACATTAAAAAACAAAAAACAAAGAAACCAAAAAAACAAAAAAAACAATATTTTCAGACTCTCTGGAGGGGGTGGGTTCCCAGCCAAGACTCTCTGAATATTGTGTTTTTTTGTGTTTTTTTGTTTCTTTGTTTTTTTTGGTTTTCCCAAGGTTTTGTTGGCTTTTCCTAGGTTGTTATTGGTTTTCTCAAGGTTTCTTGTTTTTTGGTTTTCCTATTGAGGTCAATCTGTCTTCTTACTATTTCGTTCAACCTTCAAGTATGTGAGCCTAAGTCTCACCTAAAGGCATATGTTCTTTGCTCTTACAATGAAAGCGTCTGAGCCCACCACTCCCTTTGTCCTTGTCGAAATCTCCATGTACAAGTCTGTGCATTAACTTCTGATTGGTATCAATGTGGTTGCCAATTGCATGTCCAATCAGCTTGACATGAAACTGTAATGATACCTTCCAATTTACATGAAATTGTTATGAATCTGTGTAAGCTGTAGTTCTAATTCAATGCTTGTTGCTTTTGCTTCGGCTTTGTAATATCGAAGCCTCCTCGACTTGTGCATCTTGTAGCTCAAGCGTTTTACATCTTATTCTGGCGAACTTCTAATGTTAATTCCAATTCCTTTCTAATTCAACTCTCATCTAATTTTAAATGGGTTATAGTTATAGTAGTTCAATACAAGTTTAGTTGAAATTCGGTTTTAATTCAGTTCTATCTTAGCTTTAACTCAAATCCAATTTAATATACCTAATTCTATTCTAGCTCTAGTCTATTTAGTTTAAGAAAACACATGCTACAAAACCCCGTGTTTTACAGTATTTTTTTGCCCTGGGAGTGCTGGGAACAAAACTAAAACTATTTTTTGAAGTAAATAGTTAGATTTTGTGTATTTACAGTAATCACTGGAAATAATATAGACATATTAAACTTGTTTTATGCACAAGCTTCTAATTCAAGAGCTTCCCTCTAGATCTCTGTGGATGATCATTTCTACAATAAAAAAATGTAAAAAAGCTTTCATAAGCTTTCCTCTGGATCTCTGGAAATGATCACGTCAATTTAAACATGCAATATATCAATAAATATTGTATTCTTTCAAGAGCTTTCATTTCATGAAAACACACATATATGGGATATCTACTTTCCCAAAGATCCAGAGGAAAACTTTGAAAATGCAAGCTCTTACCCGGAGAAATCTAGAATAAAGCTTTTAGCATACAAGGTTTCTATATAGTTGTTTAAATCTAAAAATTATTATGTGCAGAGATCTATAGAGAATCTTGTGTAACATAAACGCGTCTATATAAAAATCTTACCAAATCTAAACATAATTATAAGCAGAGATCTAGAGACACTTTTATGGTCTGCTTCTTTCCTAATTATGTTGTTCAAAACCATCTGAATGACTGCTTGCTGCTTCCAAAACAATAAAATGACCCTGATTCAGGAATACATAATATATTTGTTCATATGAAGAGAGCAGGAACATATTATATATATATATATGATTATATATGTGTTTATAGGGCCAGACTCAAAGGCAACTGGACACTATATAGATGCTGATAAGCCACAAAACTATACATGTCAAATGACTTAATGGAATTCTAAAAATAGCAAAAAAGTGCACTCTCACAGCCTGCCACTCTCCAGAACGGCGGTTCCCAAAACCCCATGATTCCACGTGAGTTGGAGGTCCAACAGCCTAGCAGCTTTTACCTCTCGCTTGGCTCCAAATCGCTTTGGCCTGTTCACTGGCATCGCCAGGCGTTTGTGTGAGGCCCTGGACCTCGGAACGCGGAGAACTTGGCCACCTGCCCTTTACGTAAACAGATATGTATATATATATATAGTTATATATATATATATATTTATTTATATGTGTTAAATGTTGAACTCCTCCAAAAAAAGAAGAACCCGCCCAAGTGTTCAACTGGGACGAAACCAAGTCTTTCTAGAGAACCTTTCGCCTGGTCCAATGAGTTGGACTTCTCAGGTGGAGCTTCCATTTCGCTCACCTCTTCCCTTTCACGGTTCGCAATTGAATTGGGGGCAATTCAGATCAGAGAGATGAACCATCGTGAGTTAATGCCCAAAGTCTCGTCCAAGTGACTCCTCTGAAGAGCAGGGCTCCCTTCAAGGAGCTTTCGATCCGAATGTTGAGCCGCGCCTTGCAAGCTAACTACAGTAATGGCTGAATAGCTCTTTCCAATCTAACGCAATGGCCTCCACCTAAGAGCGATGGCCTCCAACCTAATAATTGGACCTAGTAGCGATTAGGTTGAATTCAATGAATCTCCCGCACGCTAAACAAGGAAAACAACCAACACTTGAGATACACAAAAGCACCACCCCGGTGGTGGTCACTGGGCTTCGCCCCTTGCCAAACAATTGCCCTTCCTTGACCGGTCCATGCCCGTCCCCGCCTTCCAAAGATCCACTTGGGCGTTGTAAAACCTCAGCTCCAAACGTTGTCACGTCATGAGTGGTTTCTAAAGCAAAGCGACGAATCGATTGATGATGTCCGATCATCGATTCTGTGATGTGAATTTACAGTCACGAGCTAATGTCACTTACAACGCTCACTGCTGTGGCTTGTCATGACGGCCATAGGCGTTCTCAACTTCCATAGGAGCACAAGCACAGCGGATCGGTTTAAGCTTCGACTTGTCCTGGGTCCCGCTGCGCTAATCATTAAAGCTGGGCCATGCCTTCTTTCATTCCGAGAATTAGCCTGTTTGGACTTCAGTAACATTTACTGCCAAGACACAGATTGAACAAGCCCAAACCTCAGCGATGCTTACAAGAAGAATGTTTGGTACGACAGTATCTCAACACGACCTGGGGCCTATTCGGACATGTCTTTCACACGAACTGACATGAACAACGTGAGATGAACTACCTGATTCAAAATCCAGGGCGGCCTGAAGGGTCAAACCGGGCACCCAGCAAATCAAAGCACCTACTGCGATGAAACCACTCCTGGCAGCCTCGGAGCGGATGCGTTGAGAAATTCCGTTTTCGTATCTTCGAAACCACCAAGCAATCAATCTCCTGGTGGTGTCTGACAGTCCTATGGCCAAATCTTGCATGGGCTGACCGTATTTACCGGACACTAAGGCAGGGCACCGTACAGTCCATCCATGTGTAGGGGGTCAGTGATCGGATGATCGAATTCACTGTCCTTCAAACAGGACCAAATGTGTTGGTGATCCAGGCTTGTGCCCAAGTTTCTGTCTTAAGCAAGTGCGATACCCCCAGGGAAAACAAACATGATAGTCCACTGGTGGATGGTCCACCAGGATGGGGCATTCTCGAACACCGGGGAGTGACCCGTCGCCTCGGCCGAGAGGGCCGTGTTGGTCCCCTCCGTCTTGGCCTCCTGGGCCTGGCGTGTTGGGTCGGTCATCCACAGGGGTCCACCAGGTGTTGATCTTCTGTGTAGATCTAAAAAGAACTAAGTCGAGTTAATTATGAGTTGATAGTTTCAGGGTCTTCTGCAGGGTCTTTTCTTCGGTTCGTGATAGCTGCGATAGCCGGCGTCTGTATCGTCTGTGTGATAAGGGTGTGAACGTTCACATCACTTGGCTCTGTCAAATGGAATTTTAAGGTGGAGCCCCTGACACTGAAAAGGTGTCAAACAGTGCCGCAACACTTCAAGTGTCACCGTATGTCACCATGGTGTCGTGCAATCAAAAGATGGGGCCTTGCTGACACCGTACATGATTGAGTTTGGATGATTAGCTCTCATGGATTCATACAATGTTGATCAAAGTTGAATCAATCCTGTACAACGGTGACAGCGAAAGCTGAAGCGGCAGTACTTACAATGGCAAAGGTTCGCCTCCTGGAAGATAAGCAAGCGCTGCAGGATGAATGGAGAAAGGAGGCCTCGGAGAACGGACGTTGAAACATGATATGCAGTTGATGCAAACCAAGCACGGAATAGCTGGACTTGGGACTTTGATCTGCAGTTGCTCTGAACATGCTGATGTGCTGACAGGAGACTCCATGAAACTCTGCTCCTTTTTCATCTAACACCGTGGAGCTGCTGCAAGGTGAAACAGCGGCTGGGAATCAACCAAAGAATGCCACTGATTGCTGATAGTTGCTTTTGAGGAATGCCGTGTGGGAATGAACAGGAAGCGCCATGTTTTGGCCGCAAGACAGACGCTCCTCCCACAATTTGCCTCTGTATGAGCTGATTCTTGGAACTCACTGAAGCGTTCATAAGTGCGAAAGCCCTTTTCTAGTATGGTCCGGGTCTCTTGCCTTTGCCCTTCATCATGGCACCCTTCATGGCCATCATAGCCCAAAGCTCGCTCATAGGATCCCAGCCCCAGTCTCCCCAAGAGTCTCCCTTGAAGCTCTCTTTGCCTTTGCCCGTCTTGCCCTCTTTGCCTTTGCCTTTTCCTTCCCAGCCCTTCTCGCCCCACTCCCACCCACCTCCGCCACCGCTTCCACTGCCTCCCTTGCCAAAATCGCCCTTCGAAAACCCACCGTCCTTGCCACCGAAGCCATCACCAGAACTGAAAAAGCCTTTCCCTGGGCCTTTCATGCCCTTCCCACCTTCTGCCTCCCGATCCTTGGCATAGGTGATTGTCAAAGGGCCTGGATATCCCTCAGGCTGGAAGCCATCCAAGTTCTCGATGCACCACTTGGCCTCAAACTCGGGCATTCGCACAAAACCTCCAATTGTCGTTTTGCCAGGTTTGGGTGGAAGCACCTTGCTCTGGTACACCTCTCCGTACTGGACGAAGAACTGTTTCAAGGATTCCTCGGTGGAACCAATGGGCAACCCGGCAATGTACAACTGGATATTCGGAGGCCTCGACTCCCCGGACTTTCCGCCACCTCCACATCCACCACCTCCTCCTCCTCCTCCGCCGCCACATCCTTCTGGACCTGGGTGAAGGATCATAAACAAAAATTCAGAAAGTCAATCAAGAAGAATAGCTGCTACTCTCCCCTTAACCACCGTAGAAACAGCAAATGGATTATTTTTTTATTTTTTCACGTTAGTGGACCTGTCCCGAATTGTCGTTGCACGGGCTGTCAGTTTCTTTGTTAGTTGTTGTTTGTCGAGTTTCCATGTTAGTGAGCCCTGGACTTGTTTTTGTCACGGTAGAAGCTGAGAGCTCCATTTTAGATTATTTCCATGTTAGTGAGCTCTGGACTTGTGGAGTTCACTCCCATTCTTTAATGGTCGGCCCACCTTGCCATTGGACAGGTCTAGATTCAATACAGTGACCAATATGGTTACCGGTTACCGATGGCTGTCAGGGGCTGGGCACACTACGCAGGAGCTCCCAAACCTACGGAGCAAATGCAAACATGTTCAAGAGGCTAACTTAGCACTCGGCGCACGATTTCATGTTGGTTTTGAGGTCTCCACAGATAGTGGCCTGTTTCACCAAGAAACCGGACAGGCCCGAGAGGCGGAAAATGAGCTAACATTGCAATAGAAACCGGACAGGCCCGAGAGGCGGAAAATGAGCTAACATTGCAATGCTCAGGATGTGTTATTTCTTTTTTAATGTTCCTTTTCAAAGGAACCGCAACTTCAAAACGCTACCCTAGAAGCCAGTGTAATTAATCCCTTCCACCTATTAAAAAACACGAGGGCCCACCGCCCCCCAATAAGGAAACCTCGGTCGCATTTTTTTCTAATAGGGGGTCCCTGAAATCGGGGGGTCCAAAATAGGGTCACCTGGAAAGAGTTTCAAACCAAAAAAGTAATCCATGAAAATTATATATAAAATCCGTTATTAAACTCGTATCAAGAATGCAAAAAACCTCCAGGTCGAAGGGTCTTCCTTTTCCCCCACAAAAACCTTCATTAGAATAGTGATTCTTCAGTAGACTAACAGCTAAAGCTTTCGAAAGGTGATGTCGCTGTGCCATGCGGTGTTGCATGACCTCGGTGGCAAGTGCGTTTGCGTGAGTCCGTGCCATTGGGGGAAGGGAAGCCTGCTGATGCAAGCGCGGCGTGTCATGGTGGATAGACAGGGCGGACAGAGGTGGGCAGTTACGGTTGATGTTTAAATAGGTACTCGGGATTACCATGAAATTTTTATATATTCCCTGCAAGGAACTACAGCTTCAACACGCTAACCTAGAAACCAGTGAAATGACCAATTCCTCAAGCTGCCCCAGGTTGAGCTAACATGGCAATGGTCAGTATGAGTTTTTTGAATGTTGTTTGTAAAGAACCATAGCTTCAACACGCTAACCTAGAAACCAGTGTAATTACCAATTCCTCAAGCGACCCAGGTTGAGCTAACATGGCAATGCTTAGTATGAGCTTTTTAAATGTTGTTTGTAAAGAACCACAGCTTCAACACGCTAACCTAGAAACCA